CGCGCCGCGCGCCGACACCTCGCCCGCATCGTCGTCCTCGTCCATCGGCGCGTCACCGTCGTCGTCGTCGTAGTCCGAGAGCGAATGGATGCGCGAGGTCGATGGGTCGCTGCGTGTGATGTGCGAGCGCTTGCGCGTGCCGTGACTGGCGGCCCGTTGCGCAAGCTCATGACGCCGGGTCGGGTACGGGTTGAACGATGCCGGCGAGATGAGCGATGACGACGAGTACGAGGCTTGCTGCGGCCGGCTGGATGTACGCCGAGCTTGCGGAGACGAGAGCGGAGGAAACGCGGCCGACGACGACGAGGCCAGTGGCGGGTCTCGTGAGGAGGTCGATGCGGACGAGGAGCTGGCAGCTGGCGAGGCGGAGGACGCCCAGCTCTTGGAAGCGCCCCAGACGGGGCGCCGGGACGGCTGCCTCTCTGACATCGCCTCGATTTGTTCGGCCTGAAAGTGTCCGGTGGAGATGGTCGTGATGAATCAAGTGGAGCGCGAAGCAGCGGCCGGCTGAACCAAGTGTTGGTGTGGAGCACCTCAGTGTGGCAAAGTCCGAAATCTTATCGCCAAATCGGGCTCTTTGCAGTCGGCGAAATCGAGCCAAAAAAAATGCAAAACCGGCAATTTTTCGGGCAGCTTTTCTTTTCGATGTTTCTCGGAGGATTTTTCACTGCCGAACGCTGCAGACGAGGGAACAACTCAGCTGGCATCATCATCACCATGCACACTCTCCTCAAGCTCGCTCTGAGCAATGCTGCAACATTGATACCGGCAACAGAAAAAGTTGAGATACTGTACTGTACACTGCAAGAAAGTAGACTGATGAGGCGACGAGGAACTGTTACTGCCTCACCTGGGCTTCGACGTCCTTGGCCCACTCTGCGTCCGCACCTACGCTTGCACGGCCGCTGGTGGGCAGCGTGATATCGTTGACCGAAGTCTCGGACGTCATAGCCGTCTTTCGCCCTGCTGAGATCTTATCAGCCCCTGCGGTTGCGCTGGGGTCGAATTCGTCGCCTCCGTGCAGGTACACGAGCGGCAACGCCAGCAGGGCGGCGCCAACAATGTTGCCCAAGAAGCTGGCAATGACGCTCTTCCACACGTACTCTCCCACGCCAAAGTTGGTCCGCTTCGTCATCAGCGCCGCGTTGACCAGGAACATGTTCGCCACCACATGTTCGAATCCCGCCGCGACAAAGACAAAGATGGGGAACCAGCTTGCGATGACCTTGGACGCCACGTCCTTGGCGAGGCTTGCCTGGAAGACGGCGATGCAGACGAGGACGTTGCAGCCGATGGCACGCAGCCAGAGTTCGCGGAAATTGATGGCGGATACCTTTGCGTCTGCGCCTGCTGCAGCCCCGGCGTTCATGGCAGGCGTGTAGATCTCCGAGTAGTGCACCAGCAGTCCTGCGTACAGCAACGAGCCGACGAGGTTGCCGATGAATGTGATGGCCCAACCGTACAGGAATGCCCAGTAGGGGACACGTCGTTTGACGGTAGCCATAATGAAGATCGCCATCTCACCCGTGACCAGATCGGCCTGCAGGAGGACGATCATGACGAGACCGACGGGGAAGACCGCGCCCTGGAGGATCTTGAGAAGCCCGGGTGCGTTGGTGGCCAACCAGGGGTTGGCAGACATGATCTGCACCAACATTCCGCCCGTCGACAGCACTGTAAGAAAATCACAAGTCAGCATTACTTGCCATAAAAGAAAACGGAATGGGAGAGGTACGCACGAAAGCCGGCCATAATGCCCTTTACGAAGCGCTTGCCAACATCCATGCGGTGCTTGCGAGGCCCGGCCTCGATCCACGACCACGTCGCCTGTTCGAGTGTGACCATCTGCGACATTGTTGCCAGATCTCTTATGCCTTGATGCCTCAACGGAGTATAATGTTGATGGTGTCGAGAGTGACACCTCTGGTTGATGGTGATGCGATACCAAGCCAGGGGTCGTCAGAACAGCGTAAGATGTCGGCAAAATTTTTCCCCTTATATAATGGTTTTGCATGACGGAATGGCTCGCTACCCTCCCCACGTCGTACGGCATTGATGGACGGCGAAAGGCGCACATTCCACCACTCTCCCGTCTGCAATCTCAAATCCGCCCGCACGCTCGTATGCTTATCAGTGAAGCTGCCCCCGAATTGTTCAACATCTGGCCCGCAAGAACGCGTGCGCTAATCAGCGGGGAAGTTGCCACCCTCGGCAAGGGACCTCTTAGCGTGACCTCTTATCTCTGGTTCTCCACGGGGTCCTTGGGGCATGCTAGCAGCGGCACAAGCGGGGAAGCACGCTGATAACACGATAACATCCTAGTGCTGGTACACACCTCCAAATGCCGGCCAAGCACATCCAAGCTAGACAGATCTCCGGCTTGGTGCTCGGCTACGAGCGTGGAGATAAGGGCGGCGTGTGAAATTTGGCCTGTCTGAGGCCGGTCCAACAGTGCAAAGTGAGATTTTCGATCCGGCGGAATCTCGTCTGCGATCCAAACACACTCACCCACACACGGGCCAAAAGATCTGTGAAACCGGATACTGATTGCTGATTGCTAGATGTAATGGAACAATGCGGGAAACAACGAAGACCGGAGCACGTGCAGAGTCAAGAAACGCGGAACTTTGGACGGCCAACTATGCGCTGACGGTGGTGAAGAGCTTGAGCCCCTCATCGGTGAGCTCGGCGCGGAGGTCGTCGACATTGGCACCCTGGGGCAGATCAAACGTCTTCTCCACCGTGGCAGGTGCATCGCTGGTGACGGTAGCCGACGAGGCGCGCGTGAAGCTCACCTCGACAAAGTCATCGTCGCCATCGTTGGCCTCGGGGGTGACGATCTCGTCGCCGTTCTCGTCCACGTCCGAGACGCGTGCGCGCTTGGGCGAGCGCGAGCGGCCACGTCGGGACGAAGAGTTGCTGGGAGCAGGGCTGGCAGCTCGCACAGGCGAGGCAGACGCCGCCGACTCGTTGTTCCACAGACCCGAGACGGTGACCTTGCGTGCGGCCTCGTCGACGGAGACGTTGATCTGGTCGGCACGTACGCTGGTCTTGTCAAAGTTGGCGGTTGAGGGGAAGGCGTGCGAGAAGACGAGCTGTTCGGTCTTGGTGGCGGGCTCGGGAGCGGTGACAGGAGTGGCGGTGGTAGGCGCGGGGCCAACCTCTTCAGGGTCGGCATCCTCCTGCATCAGAGCCGAAGCAGCGGCAGCAGCCGTGTCGTCGGCAGTGTCGTCCTTGTCCACGTCCATAGCCTGCGCAGCGTCGGCCACCTCCTGCTCGGTAGCCTTGGCCTTGCCCTTGGCATCGACGATCTGCGAGGGAGCAGTGGCGGGGGCAGCGTTGGAGGCGGTGTCGTTCTTGTGCGCGAGCTCGACATCCTCGTCATCGTCGTCGTTGTCCTGCTGGAAGGCGTTGCAGAAGCTGGTGAGGCCGCCGAAGAGCAGATCCTCGAGGGCAAGGAAGAGGTGCTTGGACTCGTCCTGGGCTGCGCGGGCCGCGGCGATGCGCTGGCGTTCCTTCTCGATGGCGTAGGCCTTGCGTCGCTGGTACTCCTCGTACTGCTGGCGGCGAAGGGCCTCGTGTCGCTGGCGCTGGAGCTGTTCGAGCTGGTACCTGCGCTGAGCCTCGCGCTGCTGCATGGCTAGCACGTGCTCGAGGTAGGCGCGAGCCTGACGCTCCTCGGCCTCCCTGCGAGCCGCAGCGGCGGCAGCAGCCCTAGCCCGGCGGGCGGCCTCGGCGCGTTGGGCGCGCTGGGCCTGAGCACGGGCGTAGGCGGCACGCTCCTGCTGTATTGCATCGGCAAAGCTGTCGGCGAAGAGCGGGTGGCTGTCAAAGCCGCATCCGCTGAAGACGTTGGCCGAGGGACCTGCCTCGAACGCGGGGCGTTGAGTGCGAGCCTGACGGGGGTAGGCGGCAAGAACGTCGGCGGGGAAGAAGAACTCCATCGTGTTCGTCTGGTTGCGCGGTTGCGAGAAGAGTGTGTGCAGTGGAGCAAGCAGGTTGAAGATCGAAAGCGAGGTCTTTGAAGGGCAAATGCAGAGGGGAGATGTGTTGGACTGTGTCTGATGATGGGGTGAAGATGCAGAAGGGACGAAGGCACCGTGGTCTTTATAGGTGGAGCCTGCCGTTAGGACGGATGCTGCATGGTGCCGTGTAGCGTCATGCGCAGCGCAGCACTGTGGAGGCGGGCGGCTGGGCGGGGGGAGGCTGACAGCTCTAACTCCGAAGACGCCATGCTTGCCACGCTGGACCCTGACGTTCGGCAAGCGTGCTCGAGGCTCATGGAAGCCGTGATTTGGCGTCCGAACGACTGCTGCGGATGCTCAGCGATGCTCAGCGATGCCGGAAGACGCTCAGCGATGCATGTAGAAGGCGCTGGAATTTGGCGGCGGATGCACAGAGCAGACCCTGACGAGGACCCTGGGCGCCAAAGGCCTCGACCGCGAACCTTCTCGCATTTTCCACGCGAGGCTACCAAATTCCGCAGCGCCCGATGCGATCAGGATCTCGATTCGCTTTTTACCAGGTCTAACAGCGACGATGTCGATTTTGCCGAATGCGAATTCCGGACGCGCGAACAATGCGCCTGCACCCCTGAGCACCGACGCTTGGCCGGCTTCTTGGCAGGCGGCGAGTCCCAACCGAGGCAGGCAAAGGCAAAGGCAGGCCAAGGCAAGCTACAGTGCACAGATTATATGCACGCCGCAACCCCGAGATGTGCAGCGACATTCTTGCTCGGACCGCTCGGGAAGAGCGTGCAATGCTGCTGCAACGTGGCCATTGTCTTGCAAGCCAGCCGAGTTCGTGCGAGGCGCTAGTGTATGCTCATGCAAAGCGGGCCGTGGTCCGAGCCACCACTAAGCACCACTAACTCAAGCCTGGCATTGCAATGCATTGCAGTGGCGTTCTCGATCCGCTTCCTTCCGACACGGCGAGTGAGTCAAGGGAGGATGTACAGGGTGTTGGAGCTGTGGATGCCGCCTGTATGTGGATTCGCGCGGGCAGGCGGGCGGGCAGGCATTTGCTGGTTCGGTAATGCTGCAGCTGCGTCGCCGATCCACAGTACCGACTGGGCGTCAAGCGAGGCGGCCGGGCGGCAGACGGCGGCCATACCGCACATTCATGCCGAGCAGCTGCGTGTGCATTGCAGCGTGCGTCTCTCTGGCCTTTCTGAGAATTTTCAAAATGGGCAGGTGGCTTACACACTGGCCTGCGTGTGTGCCGGCCCGTCGGTCTGAGCGGTGGGCGAACGGGGCCTGGAGGCGATCCTCGCTTCCATCCGCCGCTGCCGCAAAGGATGCTGTCTCGGCTCGACCCGCCTCTTTGCGCCTCTGCTCTCCGCAAAAGGGTCTGCTCGCTCCACTTTTGGGCCTCGCGATCTGGACTACCTGCCTGCGAACCATGAAAATTCCAGGTCAGCCGCCGCCGCCGCCGCAAACCCTCCCGCTCCGAGACGGCAAGCGTTGCACCCACCGACTTCGTCCTGCTGCATTCGTACATCCCACCGCCCATCCCCACCCCCGACCTCAACCTAACTTCATCCTCGATTCGCTTCGTCCCTACACCACCATCACCACCACCACCTTTTCCTCTTTGTCGATACCCTTCTCACTCGCAAAACACAAGATGGCACCTCTCGCAAAGACTCTGGCCTTGGCCTCTCTTTTCGCTGCGCCGGCCATGGCCGCCGTCACTTCGCGCCCCCAGCTCGAGGTGAGGCAGTACCAGGACCCCAACTCGCCGCTCGTCATCAACGAGCCCTCGTGCGACTTCTACCAGTGCATCATCTACTGGGTGCCCGGTAGCCAGGTCGCCGTCAACTGGATCAACCCGACCCAGGGCACGGTTCAGGTCGACCTCATGACCAACAACAACTCGGACGTCGCCTACAACGTCGGCACCTACCCTGCCACCTCCAACACGTGCGATGCCGGCGCGGGCTACGGCCAGCCTGGTCCCAACGGTGCGCAGTGTGGTGGCTTTGTCTTCTCCGTGCCCAGCTCGTGGAATGCCGGCAACTACTCGGCTCTCCGCGCCATGTCGGTGCAGGACCAGAACCTCCAGTCGTACACGGACAAGATCTACATCACCCAGAACGACACCACCTCCAAGAACGCTCCCTTCTCCATCGTCAGTGGATCCAGCGCAGGCACTGCCTCGGCAACGTCTGGCTCTTCCACCGCTGCGCCCGCTTCCACCACCGGCAGCTCCAGTGCTGGTCTCACGGGCAGCTCGTCGCGTGGCTCGGCTAGCATGACTGCCTCCAGCACGAGCGGCCGGCCCTCGTCCACCGGCACTCCGGCCACCAACGCCGCTCTCTCCAACAGCGCCGGCACCCTCGCCTTCACCCTGGCATCCGCTTTCGCCGTGGGCCTCGCCAGCCTGCTCTGAGTGGGCATGCACCTTCAAATTAGACTCTCGGACAATAGGCTCAACCTCTTCCTTGACATTTTTGATTCGCACAAAACAAACTCTCTCCCTGTTCCAACGCTCTTTTGGACCCCGCACATCCTCCCGTTCCTGGACGGTCCGCACTGTCATTGTTCTCACCAAGAGCTGCTGCCCCGGCTCTTCGCATACCGTACCGCTTGGCCAGTCGACGTGCCTTTCCTCGCACGCGCGTCTTACCGGCCAGTGTACACCACATCTTGTACATACCCTGCCGCACTCTCATTATTTTTATTCTCTGGCCTTCCCTTATCATTCTAGTGCCGACAGATGCATGTTTGTGATGACGATGCCGGGTTCCACCGTATGCGAGATGAAGGCAAGCAAGCAAGGGTGGGTTAGGCGGCGGGATGGACCCGAGGATTGCGTCGATCGACGATTTCAGCAGTCGAAATCGGCGATCGACTGACCGCGACAAAAAGGCCGAAATGGAGGCCGTGGCGGAGGCCGAGATGGCAGGCGCGCAGATACAGCTCTCTGGCCAAACGCACGTCTTCTCCGCATTCACCCAACGCACCCTGCTTGTCGCTCACCAACCAGCACTACCCCTGCCTTTCTAGCACCAAGCATGGCCGCCAAGAGCGAGACCAAGCAGCAGGATGCGGGCCCGGACCCGATCTTGCTGTCACTCTTCGCCAATCGCTTTATGTCGGTCGCCGAATCGATGGGCAAGTCGCTGCAGCAGACCTCCATCTCCACCAATATCAAAGAGCGACTTGACTTCTCCTGCGCACTCTTCAGCCCCGATGGCTCGCTCGTCGCCAACGCACCCCACCTGCCCGTCCACCTCGGATCCATGTCATTTGCGGTCAAGTTTCAGGTGGACTATCTCGCTTCGATCGGCGAAAAGATGAAGCGCGGCGATGTGATCATGGCCAACATGCCCGTAGCGGGCGGCTCGCACTTGCCGGACATCACCTGCATCACGCCCTGCCACGCTGCCGACTCGGACGAGATCATCTTCTTCTGCGCCAGCCGTGGACACCACGCCGACATTGGCGGCATCACCGCCGGATCCATGCCTCCCACCTCCAAGACGCTCTTCGAGGAGGGCGCGCGCATCAAGTCGTTCAAGATCGTCAGCGAGGGCAACTTTGATCGCAAGGGCCTCGAGCGGTACATGCTTGAAGAACCCGCTCAGTACCCGGGCTGCTCGGGCACGCGCTGCTTCCGCGACGTCGAAAGCGACCTGCAGGCGCAGATCGCTGCCAACCAAAAGGGCATCAATCTCATCCACTCGCTCGTCGCCGAATGGGGCCTCGACATGGTGCAGCGCTACATGGAGTACATCCGCACCAACGCCGAGATGGCGGTGCGCTCGCTGCTCAAGGACGTGGCCAAGCGCATGGGCACCAACAGGCTGCATGCGCTCGAGCACATGGACGACGGAACGCCCATCGAGCTCAACGTCGACATCAACGCGGACGAGGGATCGGCGGTGTTCGACTTTGAAGGAACGGGCCCCGAGGTGGCGGCCAACTTCAACTGCCCGCGCTCGGTGGTGTCGTCGGCGATCATCTACTGCCTGCGCTCCATGGTGTCGTCCGAGATCCCGCTGAATCAGGGCTGTCTGACGCCGATCGACATCCGCATTCCCAAGGGCTCGTTGCTCGATCCGTCCGAGACGGCGGCGGTGGTGGGCGGCAACGTGCTGACGAGCCAGCGCATCACGGACGTGGTGCTCAAGGCTTTCAACGCTGCGGCGGCAAGTCAGGGCGACACGAACAATCTCACGTTTGGCCTGGGTGGCAAGGACAAAGAGGGTAACCACGTCGAGGGTTTCGGATACTACGAGACGATCGCGGGCGGGTCGGGAGCGGGGCCGTACTGGCACGGCACGTCGGGCGTGCATACGCACATGACCAACACGCGCATCACGGATCCCGAGATCATGGAGCGCAGGTATCCCGTGGTGTTGCGCGAGTTTTCGCTGCGCGATGGATCGGGTGGCGAGGGACGCTTCCGTGGCGGCGATGGTGTTGTGAGGGACATTGAGTTCCTCTCGCCGGGCATTCAGGTGTCGATCTTAAGCGAGCGCAGGGTGTTTGCGCCGTACGGTCTCGAGGGTGGCGAGAGTGCCAAGAAGGGTCTCAACGTGTGGGTCAAGCAGCGCCGTCAAGCGGATGGTGACCTGCGCGAGGGGGAAGAGGAGGGTCAGGCGCCGGCGCGTGTGATCAATCTCAGCGGCAAGAACACGACGCCCATGGGACGGGGTGATCGCATCATCATCAATACGCCCGGCGGAGGAGGTTGGGGCCGCAGGGATGCAGAGCAGCAGGATGGAGAGGAGAGGACGCCGATCAACGAGCGCAATGCATCGGGCAGGATGGCGCCGCTGCTCAACGACGACAATTCGCCGAGCGGGGTGATTGCCGCGAGCCAGGTCAAGGAGGACGCGCGCGATGTGCACAGCGTGCGCGCGCCGCATCATACGACTAGGACCAAGGGCAGTGTGGCAGAGTGGAGCGCGATTCAGCTGGGCGCCTAAGTTAGCGTGTGGCCGTCAATGCAGTCATTCGAAGTGTTGTTCTGTGCGCGTGGATTGACGCGGTTGTGTGCGGGGTTGAGCGGCTCGGCGAATTGAGCGGCCCCGGCGGGGAGAAATCGAGTGTGGGGGTGGAAATTGACGGCGTGGAGGCGGGGCGTTTCCACTTTGGCTGGATGGCCCCCCACGTCGAGTTGAGCGGCTCGAGCGGATATCCCTTGTCACCTTGCTCCTCTTTGTGTTTCCACACCATCATCCACAACACCTCACGATTCGCTAACTTTGCAACGATGGCTACGACGGTGCTTATTACTGGAGCGGGCGGGTTCTTGGGCTCGATGCTGGCGGACACGCTGGTTCGACTCCAACCGCAGCACACGTTCCAATTTGTGCTCGTCGATGTACACCCACCACCCGCACCCAAGACGTCGGGCGTCAAGTCGGTATGCCTTGCAGCGGATCTCACCACACCGGCGGGTGTCAAGTCGATCTTTGAAACGGAGCTCGGGCTTCCCGCTGTGATCTACTCGCTGCACGGCATCATGTCCAAAGGTTCGGAGGACAATTGGGATTTCGGCTTCCTGGTCAACTTTGACTCGACGCGTGCACTGCTCGACCAGGCAAAGAAGCTGACGCCGGGAGTCAAGTTTATCTTTGCCTCGTCGGTTGGTGTCTTTGGTGGCAAACTGCCAGCAGAGGTCACGCCCGATACATATCCACGACCCGAATCGAACTACGGGACCGCCAAGGTGATGTGCGAGTATCTCGTCACCGAGTATTCGCGCAAGGGGTTCATCGATGGACGCGCGGTGAGACTTCCTACCATCACGGTGCGTCCTGGAGCACCTGCTGCCGCTACTACGGCGTTTGTATCCGGCATCATCCGAGAACCCCTCCAGGGCCTCGAAAGCTCGTGCCCCATCGGTAAGAGCGCCGACGACCCCGTGTTGGAGACGACCAAGCTGTGGATCAGCAGCCCCAGCACGGTGCTCGAGAACTTTGTCATCGCAAAGGACATCCTCGCCGAAAAGTTCCCCAAGTACAGCCGGGCCGTCAACCTGCCCGGCTTCACGGTGAGCGTCAAGCAGCAGATCGAGGCACTCCGAAAGGTCGCCGGAGACGATGCGGTCGCCAAGATCAAGTTCGAGAAGGACGAGGTGTGCGAGCGACTCGTGGCCACCTTCCCTGCTGTCTTTGACAATGAGTTTGCTCTCAGCATCGGATTCAAGGTCGACCAAGGCGGATTCGAGGCCAACGTCAAGGAGTTCCAGGAGTTCCTCGCGTCGCAGAAGTCGAGCTAAGCTGTAAGTCCCACCTTGTATGCGCAAATCACATCATCCACAATCCAATGGTCATTGTTGTGCTTCATTTGACAGACCATAGATGCACTTGTAAGGTCGAGACTGGGATGGTGGGGGGGCGTGAGCCGATTTCATTTGATCGGGAGGAGCACCTCGATCCATCGGCAGAGTGTTGGTGTATTGTATCGGTTGTGCCGGCGATCCTAACTCGGTGCATTCCCACCTTCCCGTCCAGTCGCGGGCTGGCCAGCAGAGCGCATCGCAGGGCCGCGTGACTTGGCTTTTGAGGGGGCAAGTGGCGCATTCCAGGCGTGAGGACCGACCGATAAATGCGAAAATGCGAGATAGGGCCGAAAAGCCAAGCGCGCGTCACTCGAGCTTGCCTCTGCTGATGTGCCTGCATTTTCGCAACGCTCCTCCCCACACGCTACACATCCGACTCGATGCACGAACCCTGCGTGGCGCCGGTGGGTGCCGTAGCTGACAGTAAGAGCGTGGGTTTGGATGTGGGGCCATCTCGTTTGCTGGCCTGGCTATCATCGGCTATTCCGCTGCCTGTCCCAACTTTTTTTGTGACAATGCGGCGGAGTGTGCCGTGTGTGCCGTGTGTCGAGGAAGGCAGCAGTTGGTCGCGTCGATCTGCGTTGCTCCAACGCCATGCAGAAGACGTGGCAGCGGCTTTCGCCCTCATAGCAAAGCAAAGTCGACGGCCGTGATGAGGGCAAAACGGAAGATACCCACCCGTCGGCCCACCCGCCCGCTCGCTGACACGCACGCACGTACGCATCAATTCGCTCGCACGCTATCACCGGCTCCAGCTGTATAAGAAGCGGATGCCCTTCTGTACATCGCCCTCCTCCCCACGACACCGACCCCTTTTGCGCTCAACTAGACACCCTGCGTGCAAGATCCATAATGGCGCCCACCGCTGACGTCCTCCCCGCCTCCGAGGCTTCCACCCGTCCGGGCCTCCTCGTCCAGCCTTCCGACACCAAGCTCCGCAAGGCCTCCTCCTTCCGCACCGAGCAGGTCGTCATCGACGGCAACAACCTCAAGATCCAGGGCCTCGTCGCCTCCGCCCGCTACGGCCACATCCCCATCCTCGACAACTCGCCCGCCGTCCGCAAGCGCATCGATGACTCGGTAAACTCGCTCATCGCAAAGCTCGACCGTGGCGAGTCGATCTACGGCATCAACACCGGCTTTGGCGGTTCCGCCGACTCGAGGACCGCCAACACGCGCGCCCTCCAGCTCGCCCTCCTCCAGATGCAGCAGTGCGGCGTCCTCCCCGTCCCGTCCACCTTCCCCACGGGCGAGCCCAGCTCGGCGCCCTTCGCCCTGCCCCTCACCGATACCGAGACGTCGCTCGTCATGCCCGAGGCGTGGGTGCGCGGCGCCATCGTCGTGCGTCTCAGCTCGCTCATGCGCGGCCACTCGGGTGTGCGCTGGGAGGTGCTCGACAAGATGCAGAAGCTCTTCCTCCAGAACAACGTCACCCCCGTCGTCCCCGTTCGCTCGAGCATCTCGGCGAGTGGCGACCTGAGCCCGCTCAGCTACGTCGCCGGCGCCCTCGCAGGCCAGCGCGGCATCTACTGCTGGGTCACCGACAAAAAGTCGGGCCAGCGCGTCAAGGTGACTGCCGACGAGGCCTGCCGCATGCACGGCATCGAGCCCGTCCTGTACGAGCCCAAGGAGGCGCTTGGTCTCCTCAACGGCACTGCCTTCTCCGCATCCGTCGCCGGCCTCGCCACCTACGAAGCCGAGAAGCTCGCTCAATTGACGCAGCTCACCACGGCCATGGCGGTCGAGGCGCTCAAGGGTACCGACGCCAGCTTTGCCCCCTTCATCCACGAGGTCGCCCGCCCGCACCCGGGCCAGATCAAGAGCGCCCGCTACATCCGCGCGCTCCTCTCGGGCTCCAAGCTCGCCGAGCATCTCGAGAACGAGAAGCACGTGCTCTTCTCCGAGGACAACGGCACGCTCCGCCAGGACCGCTACACGCTCCGCACCGCCTCGCAGTGGGTCGGCCCCGGTCTCGAGGACATTGAAAACGCCAAGCGCAGCGTCGACATTGAGATCAACTCGACCACCGACAACCCCATGATCGACCCCTACGACGCCGACGGTCGCATCCACCACGGCGGCAACTTCCAGGCCATGGCCATGACCAACGCCGTCGAGAAGATCCGGCTGGCACTGTGCGCCATGGGCAAGATGACGTTCCAGCAGATGACGGAGCTGGTGAACCCCGCCATGAACCGCGGCTTGCCCGCCAACCTTGCCTCGACGCCCGATCTCTCGCTCAACTTCCACGCCAAGGGCATCGACATTGCGCTCGCCAGTGTGACGTCGGAGCTGATGTTCCTGGGCAACCCGGTGTCGACGCACGTGCAGAGCGCCGAGATGGCCAACCAGGCCATCAACTCGCTAGCACTCATCAGCGGCAGGCAGACGCTGCAGGCCGTCGAGTGTCTCTCGATGATCCAGGCGTGGTCGCTCTATCTGCTGTGCCAGGCGCTGGATATCCGCGCGCTCCAGTACAAGGTGGCCGAACAGCTGCCCGCCATGGTGCTGGCATCGATCAACAGCCACTTTGGCGAGTGGATGGACGAGGCCAAGCAGGCCGAGATTGCTCTGCTCGTGTTCAAGAGCATGTCGAAGCGTCTCGACGAGACGTCGTCCAAGGATCTGCGCGACAGGCTGGTCGAGACGTACCAAGACGCCTCGTCGGTGCTGGTAAAGTACTTTAGCGAGCTGCCGAGCGGGGGTGGTGCGGATCCGCTGCGCAATATCGTCAAGTGGCGCGCGGCGGGGGTGGCCGAGACCGAGAAGATCTACCGCGACGTGACGGTGGAGTTTTTGGACAACCCCTATGCCTGCCATGCCAGCCATCTGCTCGGTAAGACAAAGAGGGCGTACGAGTTTGTCAGGAAGACGCTGGGCGTGCCCATGCACGGCAAGGAGAATCTGTACGAGTTCAAGGGCGAGTTCAGCCAGTGGAACACCACTGGTGGGTACGTCAGCGTGATTTACGCCAGCATCCGCGATGGAGAGCTGTACGACATGCTCGCAGAGCTCGAGAAGGAGATCTACTAGGGTTGCAGCGTGGATACACTAATTTAATCTGATCGCATAGACAGTGTTGCCCGGGTTTGGAGGTGTGCGTGGGTGTAGCGTGAAGGAGCGAGCCCTAGGGGGGATGCGATGGGTGTGCCTCACTAGTCGTGCCATGCCGTGCAGTCCAAGACGAGAAGGAATAAAATCAAGAATGCCATTGCGCGCGAAAGAAGAGTGGATCACTGGGCCTTGCCGTGCTTGACTTGGTCGGGCTGCAACTTGAGCTCGGCCTGCTTGTCGGAATCGGCGGTGGCGGAAGTGCCGAGGAGGAGCCAGAGCGACTTTCGCACCGAGCTCTCGACCGCCTTTGGCCTTGTCTCGTACAGTGCCGTGAGCGTCGCGAGACCAAGCGCCAGCACGGCGGTGTCGGCATGCGGGACACTCTTGACCCAGCCTCTGCGCTTGGCGACGCCGAGACTGGCGTCGATCGACTGGCGGGTGACGTACGAGCCGAGCTGCGCACGTCGCGCGTGCGGCACGGCGAGGATAAACACGCTGCTGAGGAAGCCGTTGAGGAAGTAGCGCTTGGTGGGCAGCAATGTACGCGGGAGGTAGTGCTGGAAGAAGCAGGTAAGCCCCCACGCAGTACCAATACTGCCCGAGATCACCGTGGCACCCTGGACCACAGCGAGCGCAAAGCGGAAGAGCGCCGTCTCTGGGTCCTTGAGCACCTTGCGATAAGACAGCAGCTGGGCGGCGGCAGTAAAGACGGCGACGAACTTGGCCGAGGCCTGCCACTCGCGTGCAAAGAAGCCGAGGAAGTTGCGCGAGCACGACGGCTCGGTGGGATGCAGCAGCGCACACAGCAGCCGCGAGTGCGCCGGATGCGCAGGTGCATAGTCAAGCACGGGATTGATAAGCGGGAACTTGGTGGTGGGATACTTGGACGGCGTGAGTGCCGAGAGTACGGGCGCTTTGAATGCCGGATACGCTGCCGTGGTGCGCGTGGGTGTGGAGAGCAGAGCGATGGTATCGGCCACATCGCGCGGGGCAGGCCAGGGGATCGACGTCGGCAGCCCTGCCGGTCGGGGTGGGATGTAGGATGTGCTGCGCGCCAGGATCACGCGTCCGTACGAAGCCGGGAAGCAGCTCGGCTCGAAGAGGAACGTCCACAGCAGCTGGCCGTTGGCGAGCGCGTAGAAGAAGGCGCCTCCGATCCAGTCTGGCACCCAGCTGACCGAGCGCGACTTGACCGCACGCAGATGCGTATACAGGTTCTCCACCGCCTTGGTGCTGAGCCAAAGCGCCATCGACCTGCGCAGCGACGGGATCGGGAACGCCGCCAGCACGCTCGATGCAGCCAGGGCGGCGGCGAACGGCACAAGCGCGGCGGACTCGAGCACGCGCACCATGCGCGCCTTGATCCTGTCGCGCGTCACGGCATAGTCGAGCCGATCGCGGTTGAAGGATCGTGCGAGCAGCTGGAGTCGCAGCCGCGTCAAGTGGGCCAGGAGCGCGCGATAGATCGCGGAGAAGAGCGCGAGCACGGCGCCGGAGCGGAGGGAGGTGAGCGAGACGAATGCACGCAGTGCCTCGCGCGGCGACTTTTTGCGCAGCGCCAGAGGAAGGATGCCATCGAGCACCGCGTTGGCCGAGTAGCCCAGTGCGAACGATCGTGCCAGCACGCGCGAGCGCGGCGACAGCGGCGGGTCGGCGAGAAACGCGCGCAGCTGGGCCAAGTTGCTGGGCACCTGCACGCGCGAGGGCGCCGTCTGCGACGACGAGAGCGGCGATGCCATGGCTACACTTGCAACTCTCCAAGTGGGAGCTCCGTGGCTGATCGTGTGGCCGGCTCGTCGGTTTGATGATGGACGCTGGTGGCAGCAGTGACACTCTGCTCTCCGGCCGGTTGCCTTCCAGTTGGCCCGGCGCTCTCCAGCTCGCTGCTTCGTGCGTCAGTCCGGCTTGACCGAACGGGGCGTGAAATCTGGAAAAACGCAGCGGAAATGCGGGGAGGCCCGATCCTATTCCCCGATGTATACTCCCAACCCAATATCTCAGTCCGGGACCCTCGCATTGAAGGTTCAGCTGTCCGCGGAGGTCATGGTCATAGCATTGGCCCCTGGACCTAGACCAGATGCCGACGCGACACAACCGTACAGTGACCTAGCGGAAGCAAGCATAGGCACGAGGGTGGTGAGGTTGCATCGCCACTCTGTGCGAGCCACCGCCCTTCTCCGTTGTTTCTGGGCACCCTGCTCTCCATCCACTCGTAAAGTTATGCGGTGACGGCCCCTGAAGGTATCCGCCGCACACGCCGTCACGGCGAACTGCATTGTAGTAGCGGCGTGACGAGCATCATCCTCATGCCAAAAGTGAGACCCGGCAGCATTTTTTCTCGGCCATCGCGTAGAGCGGCGGGCAGCGATGCCAATTTTGAGCTGCTCCACTAAACTTACGCCGGATGACGACATCGGGGCGCCCAGATTTGGCGGTGCTTTGGTGCACTGCCCGCAGCACCGCCAAGCTGCAGTTGCCCGCCTCTGCTTGGCAATCCGTGTTGGCGCTCTTACAAGCTCCGCTGCTCGCACACGACCCTGGGCCAGGCCCGCCCAAGCCTCCACCTCGTCCTTGCCGGACGCAGATTCGGCTGCAGAGTTTAGACGTTCGAGCGATCATGCTCGCTTCGAGTCGCCGCTGCAAGTCTTTCGCCTCCTGCTGCTCGTTGCCCGTCTGACGCCTGCCCGGCAAAAGCGTCCGCGACACTTGGCTCGGCTGCCACGCCTCTATCGTCACTCGACCGGCTCGGAGGCGCTGCTCGCTTGCTGTCGCCGCTTCCATCGCTACGCCAGTCTGCGTTCTCTCACATATATACCCAAGCACCCTCTTCGTCAGACGCGAACTGCCATCGTCCAAACAAACATCCATTCAACATGCAGTTCAACAAGTCCATCATCGCCTTCCAGGCCCTTCTGCTCACCGTCCTCATCGCTGGCACCCAAGCACAGTGTAAGTAGTATGCCTCCTCTCTACTCGGCATTGCTGCGGAGAGACTAACTTGAATCCTCACGCTTCGTCCATGCACAGTCCTCAGCGATGTCACCAGTGCACTCGGCGGTGTTGGGCAGACCATCGCTTCCGGCGCCACCTCTGTCTTTGGTGACGCCACCTCGGGTGCCGCGGGCGCCTTCTCCACTGTGACTTCGGGTGCGGGTGGTGCCTTCACCACGGTGACTTCGGGTGCGGGTGGCGCCTTCAGCACTGCCACCTCGGGCGCAGCTAGCGTCGCCACCAGCGTCGCTTCGGGCGCATCCAGCGTCGCTTCCCAGGGCACCTCCGGCGCTGGCAGCGTAGCCTCGCAGGCCTCCTCGGGCGTCACCTCGGCCACCTCGCGCGCAAGCAACGCCGCCGCTGCCTCCACCATCAACGGCATGCCCGTCAATGCCCTTGCCGCCACCTTCACTGTCCTCCTCGGCTCGGCCATCGCAGGCACCCTCATCCTCTAAACACGGTCCACACTCTACTTTTAGGATACCTGAAATGCAATGCATACCAAAGACGCCGTAATGTCGCGCGAGATTGATAGCAAAGATAATGTACAAAGAGGTGGCAAGAACCTTCGCCTACGCCTGCATCTTTTCGTCGTCCAAGGAGCGCACAGGCGAGTCATTGTACCGCTGGATCCGGCGATCCTCCTCGTCAAGCGGAAGCACAGCGTTTGCGATCATGCCTACAATGGCGCTGATCAGGAACGGCGTAGAGATGACAATGATGATGCTGTCCAAGAATCCACTGAGCGCCTTGTTGCCGCCCTTGTAGGTGAACAGATTCGCGAAGAGATCGTCGGCGAGCAGCGTGCCGAAACCCCAACCGAAGCTGATTGCGAGGATGAACCTGTTCCTTCGAGTGAATGTGACGTTCTGCAGCACCTTGACGCCCGACACTGCGATGCTGCCAAAGAGCACGAGCAGCACGCCTCCGAGCACGGGCTGGGGAATCGCGCGGACGCAACCGGCCAGCTTGCCGATCACGCCGAAGAGCACGAGCCAGAAGCTGCACCACCTTCCCGCCTGGATGTTGGCGCACTTTGTGATGGCAATCACGCCGTTGTTCTGCGCAAACACCGAGAGCGGGGGCACGGTGAAGAGCGCGCTGAACACGCCGGCGAGGCCGTCGACAAGCACACCGCCACTGATGCGTCGGTCGTACGCCAGACCATCCACCTCGACGCGACTCACCTCCGACGTCGCCGTCACGTCACCGATGCACTCCATCATCAGCGAGATGTACACCGCGAGCAGCGGAAGTACCGCGGGACCGTATACGCGAAGCTTGAAAGTCTCGACCCACAGAAAGGTGATGGGTCTAGCCGAGTCGATGGGCTGCGACGACATGTACCCCAACGGACCCGCGACGACGAGGGGAAAGAGCAGCCCAATGGCGATGGATGCATTGCGCATCGCCGGGCTGCCAAAGATCTCGACCAGCACCACCGTCATGAACGACAGAAACCCGAGGCCGAGGTAGTGTCCATCGCCCCACACGTACGCACGGTGATCTGTGCCCATACACAACTGCCCCGTCCCGTGGCACGATGCACCGCCGCCAAACGAAGGAATCGCCGACTCGCCGATGAGTTTTATGCCAATGAATGCAACAACGGTACCGGTGATGATGGGAGGAAACATGCGCTTGAGCACTCGCGGCGGCAAGAACGAGAGGGCGATCTCGAGCAGTGCACACACGGCACATGTTCCGAGCAGATAGCCGTAGGCATCGGGACACGCCGCGCGACTGCCATCCGGATTGCTCGGACACACGCCCTCGGCATACAGATTCGTAAAGATGCTCGTGGTCACCGAGAGCGTCGTAAAGCTGGTTCCGACGACGCTGAGCAGTCCTGTACCGAGCTGTCTGCCTCCGAGGAAGGGGAGCGGGATGGCGCTCTGTTGAACGGCCGAGATGAGGCCCGAGGTGATGAGACTTGCCGAGATGAGATACGCCGACGTTTCGCCCGAGAGGCTGAGGGAAGAGGCGATGATCATGGGCGGGGTGATGAGACCGCCGAGCATGGCGAGCGCATGTTGGAGGCCGCAGATGGCCGCGACGGCAATGGGCAGTTGGTCGTGCACGCCGTAGAAGGGCGACTCGGCCGCACCGCCGTTGAGCTTGCTGTCCGGCTTCCACGGCAGCAGACGCGGCAGGCAGAGAGCGCCGAATTGGTAGTCGCCCAACCAGCCCTCGCGCGTGCTGAACCGGCGCACGGTCGAGCGCAGATGCTCGCGCGGGTTGCGTCGCCACGACGTCGTAGCGCCCGACGGGGCAGGGGAGTGTTGCGCATCGCCCGCGTAGGGCTGCGGCTCGGCCTGCGCAAACGGCTGCGTGGTGATCGTGGCGAGCTTGGAAGACATGTTGTCGTGGCCCTTTGGATCGGTGCCGGACGCGTCCATGTGTGTGGGCTCCGAAGGCTTGCGCAACGACGTTCAAGCCAAAGAGCGCGCTGGAGGCAGTGAAGATGGGAGACAATGGAGGCTATTCAAACCAGGGTCTGTGTGTGTGCAAGCAACGACGGGGGATGAAGGCACGTAGCGACAAACGGGATCACTATATGAAGTGGGCGCGAGTGGAGACGGGTACTCAACGCGATATGGGACCGTTCCTGTTGGCGCCACACAGACTAGGCCGCCTCCTCTCACGCCTGACTGCTAACCGACGGATGATGCGGCAGCGTGCATGCGGTGATACGGCGCGGGTAGGGTACCGGCATGCTCAAGGGTGGCGGCAGGGTTCTTTTTTTTGACCCGTGATAAGAGCAGACCCGCAAGTGCATTTGCGAGTCCATCTCTAGCAAATGAGCGTGCGAGGAATGGCATTCGACAGAACCGGCCCGCCTGTTGTCACGCGGGGGAGAAAGGGTGGCACATGGCCAATGCCGGTATCAGACAGCTTTGTCGATGGCCAATCAACGAGGCGGGGGCGCTGCGTCGCTAAGCGATGCTGCTCGCCCGAGATTGCGCTCCGGCTCGAGGCAACGGGCGAATGAGCAGCCTCGGCTGATGAGCGCGCGGGAAGATAAGATTGTAAGAGTGGGCGCCATCCGAACACAATTCGATCCCCGCCAAGCGCACTTCGGACTTGGCCGAGGACATGTGACAACGTAGCGACGTAACATTCAGTAAAGAAGCGCCTCCGCAACGCCCGAGCACTGTGCCGAAAGACCGAAGAGACGTCCATTTGAGAGCGCGGAAAAGCAGACCCTTTTGGGCGTACAGCAGCCAATCGCTGTCGGGCGCTCACCAACCTATCTTCCTCGCCAACACCACCACCGGCAGATCCACGCAGAGCAGATCCTCGCGCTCGCCCTTGCCGCAGCCATGTCGATGGCAGGACCAAGCCGCCTCGGTGTACGCCCTAGAGCGGCCCTGACACGCATCTCGGCGACACATCGACGAGCCGTGTCTCGGTCTGCTGCGCTTGCAAAGCCATTCGTCCCGACCAGCAGCGAAGCAAGCACACACTCCTACGCCGGGTCATTGGTAGCTGCTCACGCATCGCTGCCCCAACAGCAGCAGCAGCAGCAGCAGCAG